CAGGCGCCCGCTCTCGTGGCGCAGCCGCTCGGACCCGTCGCGGTCGGCGAAGGCCTGGTAGTAGCGGGCGTAGCAGCCCTGGCACCACTCGTCCTCCAGGTACTTGGCCGTGCGGAAGCCGGCGGTGGCCAGGCCGGCGGACGTGTGGGCGCCCGTGTTGCGGGCCACCTCGTGCTCCTTGCGGGGCAGCTCGTGAGCGGGCACCGTCTGCGGGGCGGGCGGCTTGGTCAGCAGCACGTCCGGCGGCACCATGGTGCCCACGGGGCAGGGGGGAGGCGCCCCTGGCGCCAGGCACAGGGCCGAGCCGGCCGGCGGATCCCCACAGCTGGCCATGCTGTGGCGGGAGACCAGACAGGTACACACACCCCGTTGCTGGGCAACGGCTGCCCCCCACCTGCTCTCTTAAAGGGCCAGGCCGCCCAGCCAGAGGCTCGTGTCCAGCAGAACAGGCTCAGCGGCGGTTCTGGGCCAGCCGGCCGGGCCTCTCTGGCCCCAGAGGCTCGATGCTTGGTGGGTGGCCTCACTGCCCAGCCCTCTGTCCTGGCCCTGCCCTCCAGCTGCCCCTGTCCTCAGCTCACATTCTGGGGGCCCATCTGGGTGGACAGGCGGGGCTGTCGGGGTATCCTTGGGGCCACTGGGGCCCCTGCCTGACAGCACCCTCACGGCTGAAGAGCGGGGTTCCCCGCCGCATCTCCAGCGCCCCCTGGTCCTGCGGTCAGGCCCCGGGCTCCCGCGCTGTGGTGGGCTCGGGTGGCCCACCTGTGCCCTCAGACCAGGCTGGCCCAGCAGAGCGGCTCCTGGGCTGCGTCCACCCGGGGCTGGGGCCTGGGACAGCTGCCCAGCGTGGCCAGCAGAGGGCACCGTTGGCTGCCGGATGCCACACAGACCGGCAGCCAGAGTCCTCCCTGTGCTAGCCGGGCCAGTCCTGCCTAGATGTCCCCTGAGCCCTCTATGCCTGGGGCTCCCGCAAGCCCAGAGCCCCCCAGGACCCCCCCCGCCGGCCCCGCCGGCCTCCTCAGCCGTGGCCTGGTCCCGGCGGTGGCCGGGCTCGCCAGGCCTCTCCGGACAGCATGGCCGCCTGTCCTCGGCCGTGGACTGGACGTCCCTGAGGGGCCTGGGGCTCTGGCTGCTGGACCATCTGCCACCCCGAGCTGCGGAGTCCCCGACGTGGGGTACTCCAGCGTGGAGCTCGGGGTGACTGGCCGCACCTGTGCTTCCCAGCACCCCACGGCCTGTATTGGCGCGGCCCGTTGGGACCTGACCAGGACACTCACGCCAGCCTCCTCCCCTGGCCACCTCCTGCCTCAGCGTCTCGCGGCCGGGCCGCAGTGGCCTGTCCAGCTGGCCTGGGGCAGCGGAGTGCCGGGTGGTGGCCCCAGGAGCACGGGATGGCCCTCTGCCCACTCCATCTGCTCAAGCTGCCCAGCGGGCCCAGCGGCCACGCGCAGCCCAAGGCCACTCGGCGCGAGGGGCCGAGCGGGCCAGAGCAGAGACTGGCCAGCGGCCCTCCCGCGCCCCAGGCCCCACCTGCAGCCC